TTTAATAATTGAAATAAAATTTAAAATAATTATGATAATAATAATAGAATAAATAAATGAGTGATGCACAGTACAACTGCTTACCAGCTGCTGACCAAGGCCCACCCTGTTCCTGGCTAGTGGTCGTGGAGGAGAGAAAATCCTGAAACCACAATCCCAGAAGACAGCAAGCGCTTCCCAGCCAGTCATTTATACACTGACCATGATGTTGCATGATTTGGAATATCCCATTGGCCAATTTGGGTCCATTGGTCTGGCTATGTTCCTGCCCATCTTCTTGTGCACACTAGCAGAGCATGCAAAGTTGAAAAGTCCTTGATTTTTTTTTAGCAACAGCTGACACAATCAGTATATTATGAAATCAATCCCATACTGAATCCAAAACACAGAGCTATTCTAGCTGCTAAGAAGAAAATTAACTCCATCCCAGCTGGAACCAGGATACCTGCCTTCCCCCAGACCAGGAAAAAACATTCCCCAACTTTCATTTTCACCTTTCACTTAGTGGTCCCTATTTTGTGTGTTTTAATACTAGAATAATTTGTCATTAGTCTACAAATTCTTGTATTTAAAACTCACCTGAAACTATTTCAAGCAGCAGAATGTAGATATGGCCACTTTTTGCTGGCCACCTTGGGTAGTACTGGAAGTGAAACTAGAAGGGTGGCAGAACACCTGGATGCTGGTTATTCCCAGTTCTAGATTACTTCCAGCAGCTAAGAAAAAGCAATGTACATAACTTTGTTGTAATGTGTACAGCTTGTACCCACTTGAGAGTATCAAGTCCTCAGCTAACTTGTAGAAAAAATTGAAGTATTGGGATATTAGGGGAGAGCAGGAGGCAAAAGAGTTCTAGGGAAAGGGAACTCTGACAAAAGCAGCCTCTTGTGCTGACTGCATGTAACCTGCATTGCTGCTTAATCACTAAGTTCTGTTTTTTTCTTGTCTGATCTTTTTTTTAATATGGGCTGCTATATTCTCATGTGTGCCATGATAAAAATAAGACTACAAAGTACAATAAAAATATAAATAAAACTTTCCTGTTAAATTTTGTCAGCTGCTGTAATGTAGTCCCTTGGGTTTATACAGAAAGAGGAAACAAAAAAAAGACTTCTAGCATTTAATTATGTGGACACCTTTTATAAGCAGAATGGTTTGGAAAACTTGGTAGCGTTGTTTATAATGACAGGCTACTTTCAAGTCTTATCTCGTATGTTGAGGTTAGAAATAAAATGCAGGAAAAGTATCCATCCTTGTAATAAAGATAATTTCATGTAAGTATCTTAAATTCAGAATGTTTGTAGCTGCTCTTCCATAGGATCATTGCTATGAAATAGTGCTTTATAAAGATGCAATCACAGATAGGGAGATCAAGGTATTTCAGTCAGTTCAGAAGTTCTTGCGATAACATTAGCTTTGCTCTTGTTTCACAGGCTGTCTCTCAAAAAGGTAAAGAATCAACAGATGCCCATGCAAGCACATCTGAAGGTAAAAATACCCTTGATTATTAGTATTGTGATTACTGTGGATTAATAGGTTAGCAGGCTCTTTTAATGCTTCAATCTCGGTGTATTCGTTTGCAAAGCGTGTAAAAACATGCCTTCCTCTTAGGTGCTGAGGCTCAATTTCCCAACTTTTTGGAGGACTTTGGATAAAATCGCTGAGTCTTGGTGAAGATATTATGCATAGGTATTCAGAACAAAAGTGCCACCAGGAAATGCTGTTTTACTTGCACTCAGTGTCTTTAACAAAATATTAGTAGGAAAAATCATATGCAGATCTTGGACTGTATTTGTTCACTGGCATTTATTTTGTTGTTTTGTTGTGTTTTTTCCCTAAGGTCCTAACGTAGCTGCTGTTCTCATTTGGGCACAGAGCAGTTGTTTAAAACGCCCCAGGATAGGAACAAGTCACCAGGAAGCTGGAACTCAAACATCCCTAACTGAAAAGGAAAAAGCCCATGTGTCAGAAAGCAGGTAGAGGAGCCCATATTCTACTGATTCTTTATTTTGTTTCTTCAGAAGTCAAACTACATCAGTGTCTCACAGTGTGCTACTTGGTATTTCTTCTCTTTTCTTCCTACTTTACTTGCTTGATTTCAAAATTACTAAAAATAAAGCCTGATGTGAGAGAGAAAATTGAGATATCACCTGAAGAGTGATTGCACCAAAATGTAGTGCCTCTGAAAATTCATCAGATACTAGAAATAACAATCAGAGCAATGAAGGCTGAGGGTATTGTGTTGTAACTGAGTCTGCATGAAGGTAAAAACATCTGTATTCATACATTATAGTTTCTTGCAATAATATAACTGAACATGTATCCATAATGGTATGTGTGATCTTTGAAGAGGTGTCTCTTCCTAACCTCTTGTTATGGTGGCATATTGCAGTAAAATAAAATCTAACTGTTTAGTTTGGGAGCTGATTACTGCTAGTGACTTAATAACAAAAGAGTTACAGGGAGCCACCCATCTTCAAAGTAAAGCCCTTTGCTTAGACAAATTCTAATTTAAAACCATCTTATTCAAATTTACGTCCTGGGGCGGGGGGAAAAATTGTCTCCAACTTAAAGAATGTTATCCTGCATAATTGTCAAATGGGGATGTGAAGAATTGTGCCACTTGTGTGCCATAACAATTCATACAAGACAGGGCCTGAAGTATTGATTTGCACCAGCTTCCATCCAGAATGCAGAACTGTGGCTATTTAAAATAAATAAATTAATTGCTCCATCCTGCCCCTTCCTGTGCATGAGTGAACGCTCATAGACACACACCATCTCCCCCGCCTCCTGTCTCTCTCACCCTCTCTTATTCTCTTCCAAAAAAACCCATCCCAAAGGCCTCTTTTGAAGAACTAACGATAACCTGATTGTTTTCTGAGAAATCCCTCAAACTTCTTCTGTTAGGGTTCTTTTAACAATTTTTTTTTCCTGTGCAGCTGAGGTCCTCAGCTAGGTACAACCTAATTTTTGTGTTCAAATTGCTCTGTGGAAATACAGAAGCATTGCATTCCAAAAAAAGTGTGCCACCCTAAGCTGGTTCAGACAGGCCATATGGCCAAATGGTTTGACACTGCCACAGGTTGAGAAATACTTTGGCCTGTTAGTACTAGTAATAGGCTAGTTGGTATGTGAGGAGACTAGCCTTTTGTTGAATGTCAGTATTTTGGACCTTGTAAAATGAAGTCAACAAGGTGCCACTGCTCCTTTGAACAAGGTGTGCAACATGGATTTTGTGAGCAGAGCTAGGGGGAATCCTGATGGCAACAGGGCAAGATATCAGCTTGGTTCTCTCCTTCCATGCACATTAACAAGTGCAGCAGTCTTCTGTCAGGGACTTTCTCCTGTGGAGTACCTTCATCTCCAGACTGGCACCTGGGATAAAATCCTCCAATACTGCCTTTACTTTGATATTGTGAAGCAGCCTCCTGCAAATCTATTGCATGTACTTTTTTCTTTGCTTGTATATAATACTTCCAGTTTATTTTAAGTTTTATCTCAAAAAAGAGAACTGAATGTTTAAGATAGTGTTACTACCTATCAGGTGCATCAGAGCTTTACCTTTAGCTATTTGCTACTTTAATCTGTCTGATTGAATCTTTAGCCATGGTGTGTTTATTGCCTTGAATTCTTTTCCAGTCATAGTCTCTGTAATATATGTATATTCAATAACTATACAAACATATTTGCTTTTGTAACTCCATAATTTTAAACTGTTTCTACAGTGGGGGTGGGAGAAGCTGCTTCCTTTCTCACCCCTCTGTGGCTTCCAAATATGTAATGGATTACTGCTTTCTAAATTAAAAATAACAAACTCAAGCAAACTTCTGACTTTTATTCCCATAAAATACAAGTGAGATAGATGTCTTTGTTTTATAATTGCCAAAACAATTTTTCCTAGCTGATGTTTTTTTTTTCTGATGAGTAGTTAGTAACTTTTAGATATTTAGCTTTCTAGATTTTTTTTTCCTATGGTAAGCACATGATACAGCACTATATAATTAGTTATGAAAGAATTTCCCTGCTGAGATCAACAAAATTCCATATTAATCTAAAAGATTAAAGGATATATCTTAATACCTGCTGCAGGCCAGAACTTCCTGCCTACACATCTGGAAGCTCTGAAGATGTCTTAAAAGTACCTGAGGAGGATACTGTTGAGGAGGCTGAGGAAATGATTGTTGAAAATAAGGGCCAGTCTGTATCAGAAGCAGAGCTACATGTATCACCCCCTGAGAAACAGAGTGAGAAAGAGGTGAGCTGGATGTGGTAGCGATAGTAGATAAGTTTGGAATATAAGTAAAGACTTTGTTAAATATCATCCTTGTTGCCTTGATCCATGTGACTATCAACTGTTTGATTTTCATACTGATGAATTGTTGAGAAGTATGCCTGAGAAGCTAAGGCCAGTATAGAATTAGTTTCAGGGAATCTTCCATTATACTTATTTTGAAAAATAGAGTTCATAGGATCTTCAGTAAGGTGAATTTCTAGCTTGTCTGGCAACCCAATTTTCTTAATTTATTTCTCCTGGTCAGATATTCCAGAGAACTGGAGTAAGGTCAAGATCTGATCCACTATCTCTAATTTAAAAAAAAAAAAGTTATTTGAAGAAGCCAATAGCTGGTATGCTTCAGTGACTACTGTTGGCTCTTTCTACTTCTCCACTTAAAGCTTGCCTTTATCTAAGGTGTGTTAACACCTTGAATTTAAATCTGTGAGTACCCTTTGTGCCTAGCAATGCCTCCAGGGTTTTATGTTCTTACTGATCAGTGAGAAAGTGGATCTTACACTATGTTGGGTTCAAGGAATGACTGCAGCATGTATTCTTGTGAGATGCATAAAAACTGCTTGGCTTGGGTCCCAACAGTGTAAGGTATGGTCAGAAGTTTAGTGCAGGTGACACCACCAAGCTAATATGCTGGTTAAGTTAGCTACTCTGCACTGAGTTCTGCCTTCTTAGTACACATTTCTAGATACCCAACCTATCTGCTTCTCACATTGAGTTGCAAAATTAGATCACAGATACACCCACTGGTGTTGGGGGACAATGGCTGGGCATAATCTTGACTTAGAAATGTGATTTATTTTTTTTTAAGGAAACTCCATCAGAACCTCTTAATGGTGAGGTGACAGAAGAAACTGCCAAAACCTCCCTTACAGCTGAAGAGGAAACAGGAGATGAAGTTCTAAGTGATGAATCAAGTTTGCAGTCTGAGATTCAAGGAAGCAGAACTGTAATGCCATTTGTAATGTCAACTCTTGAGTCTCCTGCAAAACCGTCAGAAGACACTGTATCAGAGAAGGTGAGAGAATTGAAACAAACTGAGGTCATCTTTCTTTCAGAGTGTACATATCTTGCTGTTTTTTCTTTTGTTAAGTAACAGATAGAAAGCAGCCCCTACCATCATATGAAATTATTAGGCCAGATATTAGTATATTCTGTTTATGGATTTACATTGTTTCTGTTTTAATATACAGAAGTGGGGCATATATGCATGTGATACCAAAAATAAAGATAATTTGCACCAATTTGCCTTGGCAGTAATGAAACAACTCTTTCTCACTAAGTATTAGTTGGATACAGGTGAAAAGCCACATCCTTATTTTGTGTAGTAATTCTGCCCCAATGAAGTGTACAGGCAATTAATTACTGGTAAAATACCCTTCTAGAACATAAATTTTACTGGTTTTTGTTTATAGTGCAAAAGCAGATTGTTACATACTAGCAAAATGATAACTGTATATGTCTAAAATTAATTTTTTTCCCCTGGGATTAGTTTCAGAATGTTTTTACTGTATCCTTTGAAGAATTTTAATTTGAAAATAGGAAAGCAACTCTGGATGTCAAATGCAGTGCACAGAATAGTCTTGTGTGAAAAGGAAGAAAGGTCTGGTTTATTGACTGTAGATGTAGTATTAAAAACTGCTGAATGCCAAAATATCCTGAGGTTTCTACCTCGGGGCAGTAGGTGTTCAGCCTCTTGTATCGTCAATTAATTGTCCCGTTGGTTGTTTTGGCACCTTTCCCCTCCCCTCCCAGGTTTTAAATGCAAATGATTCAGAAGTGCTGACTGAGGAAGGTGCAACAGTAGAGCAGAAGGGCACTGAAGAAGAGCAAGAATCTGAAAAGATCATCATTGAAAGTGCAGCTGCTTCAGCATCGGAGGAAGAGCCCTCTGACAGTGGCCTGCCCCACTGTGAAGTGGCAGATGATAGTGTTTTTGAAAGTGTATCACCCAAAACATCTTCCTCATTGGAAGATCAAAATGAGGAAGCAGAGCACAACTCACAGGAGGCCTCTGTTGCCTTGAGTCAGAGCTCATTGATAGTGGTTGAACTTGAGGGTGTTCCTTTTCAGCAGCCTTCTGGACAGGAAGGACAGAAGAACCAGTTGGAAGAACACTCAGAAGAGCCTGAGCAGATGGATCAGTACACACAGACAGCAGTGGAGCGGGCTGCTGACAGCAGCTCTGAGGAAGCAGAAATTGAGGTTCCTGTTGTAGATCGGAGAAACTTGCGAAGAAAGGCCAAAGGCTACAAAGGTCCACCTAAGAAAAAAGGAAAACCAGCTTAAAAACGAAATATTGATTGTTAATTCATCTATTTATAAGAAAGTTATTATTTTCTGTAGAATTGGTGTAACTAAACCATGTGGGACAATGGGACATGTGTTTAAAGTTCTGGGTTGGACTTCCTCTTGGGATTTATCACCTTTCCTCAAGTTCTCTTGAATTTTTAACCACTAGACACTGAGCTTCATCAGAATGTGAAAGTAAACAGCCAGTCTCCTCCTTTTATAAAGGATACATGCTGAATAAATACTGTTGTGCTAGCAAAGGGAACAATTTGCATATTTGAGGTGGCAGTCGTGGAAGAAAAATGGAGTGTTAAAATCCTGGCTCTTTCAAGGTCTCTCAAATTCCCATAAACTTCCATGAGGCCAGACATCACTCTCGGCTTTTTTTAAATAACTTTGTGTTCTCTGCTGTGGAGAGAAGCAGAACAAGAAAAATCCTTCCTCGCTTCTTGTTCCCTCCCCATAGATTTTTCTCAGATGAGATTAAAAGAGTGTAATTCTAGGTCTGAAAATACACAAGAAGGTATAACTCAGTAGGTCAAAACAACATAAGCAGCATCTGTCTTACATGAGAATCACTTGAAACAGCTGAGTCACTAGAAACATGGTCAGCGCAGTATCTGCCATGGCACACTGATAATGAGGTTCTTTTCATGAAGATTAAGAGATGCCTACACAGTAAACTATTTGTAGTTTCCAAAGCAAGCATCTCTGTAAGCCCAGGTTTTTCCAGAGTGTATGGAGTGTGGAGTACAGTATGCATATGGAATTGGTTGAACTGCCTTCCTGACTACTTGCATATGTTTTACCTTGTGAAAACTGTCAGTTTTTAGGCTTGAATGATTTTTTTTTTTTGGTCTGTTAACTGTCTTACTACCATCAAACTCTTAAAGAATTTTTAAGATCTTATTGCACCAGCAATCAGTGATTAAAACATCAACTTTATACAAGTTTGTACCAACATGCTGTGGAACTGTATGCATAGAGTGAAAGCAAGCAGCATTATTTTTAGCTATATTTGGCCTAGGAATAGAGAGAACATTACTTTGTGACTTCAGTCTTGCACTTAAATGGTAAATGGTTTTGTATTGGAATCCAGCATTTGTTCAAATGTCTCTCTTGTACTGCTTGTTAATTTTTAAAAGGATTTCCTTGCTTCTCACACATTCACTTTTGGTTTATTTTCATTTCATGCAGAATACTTGCTTGCTGTTCCCATGTTTCCCATATAGCCCTTTACATGAGAACATATACATGTCATATTTAAAAAGTGCTTTTAACTTATTTGAAATCATGTCTGACTTTGGTTTGTTGCTTTTTTATACCATTTCATTTGTAATGTCAGTAATCAAATTGATCATGTACAACATCATCGACCCTACTATGTTAAACATAGCAACAAATAGGCCTAAATATCAGCTTCTCTGTTTCAAGTGACTATTCTGAAATTTTATTTCCAAGAGGATACACTTCTAAATTTACATTCACAAATGTGGTGTTCAATGTTTTCTAAACTAGTGATACCCTGTTTATAAATCTTATGAAAGATGTGTTGCTATTCTAGACTATTGTACTAAAGGCTTGTTATAGTGTTGGTTTTTCCTTTCTTTAGTACTGTCTTGGCTGCTTTTGAAATGTTTTGAAGTAGTAATTAAACTTATATTTTGCAGTTATTTTTTGCTTGGTTTTTAGTGTTGCGAGTCCTTTCTGCTATACAGAAGGCATGTTTTAAAGTGGTTCAGTAGAACTAGCATCATTTTACAATGTCTTCTACCAATGACCTTTAAAAGCTCAAATTACTAATTGAAAAATCTTTATCAATTGAAACAACTTCCTATACATGATTAGTTTATGCATCAGACTTTTACAAAGACGGTAGAATAGGCTGTTCTGAATGCTACAGCATGCATTCTGCTGCTTATACCAACTATTCAAGGTGATGTAAACTTAGCAGTTATTAATGGAGTTTGCGGACAAGCCAACTAGAAATGTTGTAACACACTCCCTACTGTGTGGTACATTTCTTAAGTGCAACAGTTGTGTTATTCAGCTAACAAATCATGTATTTATAGAACAAAATGTAGTAATTTTCTTGAGACAGCTGTAGAAAATTTATTATATTCATGTTATTTGTTAACATGCAATAAAGGGTAAAGCAGCACAAACATAAACGGAGGCTTATCTGTTTTGACAAAATGCCCTCTCTCCAAGTACATGACTTACTGGCTTGTGACCCTCTTAGTTTCAAATCACTTGTCACTACCCAAAGAAGTGAAAAATCATAGTAAGTTAAGCCTAGATTAGGGCAATGTGTTAAACTAACAAAACAGCCTGTAAGAGAATACTTTGATAGTATATATAATTGAAGTACTAAAATAGTTGAAGTACTGCCTCTATGGGATAGTATAAGAAAAGTGAGAAATTTGGTACAAATGCAGCTAGCTTGACTTCTCAGCCACAGTTTTAGATCTGGAACATGATTGGTCATGAAGATGATTAAGGGGTTGTCATACAAGAAGCTGAGAGCTGCTATTGTTCAGATGGGAAAAGAGAAAGCTTGGGAGGATCTTTGTTTACAAATACCTAGTGGGGGGGTATAAAGAAGATGCAGCAAGACTCTTCTCAGTGATGCCTGGTGAGAAGACAAGAGGCAGTAGGCACAAACTGAAATGTAAGAAATTCTATTTAAAAATTAAAAAAACCTACATTCTAAATTGTAAGAGTGGTCAAACACTGGCTCAGGTTCTTCAGAGAGGTGGTGGAGTCTCCCATCCCTGGAGATACTTAAACCCTGGCTGGACATGGTCCTTGGACACCTGCTTTAGTCATCTCTGCTTTAAGCAGGGGCTTGTGCTACACAATCTCAAGGGATACCTTCCAATCTTAACTACTCTGTGATCCCATAATCTGCTACTCAACCTGCTTATTGCATGTGTGACTGCCTCTAGCCTTAAACTTCTGTTAATGTAAAAAGCCTCAATACAAACCTGTTAACATTCTGGCTTCTGATCTTTGAGGTTTTGTTTAAAAGTTTCCTTCTTACAATGTTGAGGGTTAGGAGTGCCCTCATGAACTGGAGAAAGCTTCTAAGGATTTGACTTGTAATTTGTGTTAAAAGGTCTTTGGCTTGAAGTGCTGTTCAAGAGTAGATATATAAAATAGTGAGTATGATTATTTTTAGTGATTGTGTTAAGTTTGTTTACCACCAAATTCTTGACTGAGGCAGTTAAATACAGCATCACTGAAAGCTTCCAGATTAGAAGCAGCTTTTGTTTCTTGTATTTTGAGGATGCAAGCTAAATACATATTGATGAGTTAGTTTTCTTGTATGTTTCTTAAAGCCACCAAAATAGCTACAAGTAGTTGTAGCATCAGGGCTGTCACACCATTGTCAAAATTCACATCTTAAATCCCCTATAACTTCGTAAATTTAAACTTCTGAAACTGTTCTCCTCTTTCCTGGAACCACAGTGCTCCACTCTACAGCCCTTATTCTTTCCACTAATGCCCTTATAGAGGCAAAGGGGAGAGAGAAAGACATGAGGTGAGGGGGAAATAGCTGCTCTCCTAGTTATCTTCCTCCCCTGCATCCCCATGCTGCTAGTGTGTTCTCAAGCCCATGCTTCTGTAGGGGCAAGTATCAAACCAAGTCATTAATTTCTGATGTCAGTGTGCAGTAAGACTATAGCTGCATTCTTCCAGCTCTTCTGCTTTCCCAGAAGCAGTATACAAGTGAGTATATTCCTCCATACCTTTAGTTATTACAGTGGGCCATCATGGGAGATGGTGGCTCTATTTCCCATCACTAGGACTGTGAGTGGAATTATTTATACAATATATCTAAACCAGGAAACTGCTACTCTGAAAACACCAAGAAGCTTGAGATTAAATCCATACCACATTAGCAAAACATGAAAATTGAATCACTTTATTTGGACAGTGTTCAGCTGAGCAAACATAATAAATACAAAAGCCCAGGCAGTGATTTCTGGCACATTTAAGTTCCTCACCAGCTTGTGAGGTCAATGTTCTTGAATGGTTGAAGGTTCCAGAGATCTTGCAAACTTGTTGAAACTCCACTGATTTTCCAGGAGCCTATGTCCAATGCTTAGTATCAAACACAACTTAAACAAGTAGAACTGCATTAATACAGCCATCATTTTCTGGGTTGTTTGTCACTTGTGCATATTTCCCTAAAGAGAAAATAGAATTAAATGTCTACAAAGGCTTGAGGTAGTTCATATAATAAAGCAGAATTTTCTGTGTTTGCAAATTCAATCCACGAGTCCCTAAAAGCATAGGAAACTCCTGTTCCAAAACTGAAATGCATTTTGAAATCTAAATCTACCTTCTGCTGAGCTGCAAACTTAAGATTCTCAAATATTTTTTTCAGGCTGTTTTTTATAAATGGATCGTTGAGAGTTTTGGGTAGATTTAAAAAAAAAAAATTAAAAAATCATACATTCTGGTATAGTCTAACTCAACCTTTGTTAAAAGAATTAAGTCAGCCTGATGCTATGAATATACTTCTACACAGAACTTCCACTGAAAACATAGTACGATTGACAATTGTTCATAGTTCATGTGGTTAAGTGTTTATAGATTTGGAGCACTGCTTAATGTGAGACACAGGCAAGCAAGCTGAGTCTTTGTTCTGAACTTCACCTAATTTCATCCTGGAAGTGTGAAGGGAAAGCCTAAGATTAAAACTTGAAGCTTGCATTTTTAGAGCCACCTAGCTTCTGCTACAGTCCAAACCTAACATTTAACAGTGGATCAATTATGACAATTTATAGGAAGTGGTCTTAATGATGCATCATGCAATGAGGACTTAAAACTTTTAAAAGTAGTTCTGCAGTATAGCTAGTTTAAGTACTTACCCCAGATAACTTTGCCCCCTTGTGTCACAAGGCCAAGCTCACTCACATTCACCTCAATGATGGTCCCCTTGGTAATTACACCCAATGTTGTATACAAAGGAGAAGAAGGATTCTTTT